GATTAGTCCAAAGATCTCTCAGCTGGACGATGTGTTTAAAGTAACTTGTGAGCGCATGGCAAATGTAGAGACCGTAAAGAACACGCCTACGCACAGCGTCGCATTATTCAGTAGTCATTGTTCACTTTCATTCAAATAAACATTATATTTTTATGAACAGCGGCTTATTTTTCGATGTGAAATTATTGATAGGCTGTTATTGATAGACTGAAGATTTCTTTCTGAGAATATTTCGGCATTGAAAATGTATGTTTTACTGAAGATTGCGAATTTGGAAGTTATATATGATACACGTTGCTTCAATTTCCATACCTAATGAAAGAAATATGAAGCTGATATTTACCGTAATATGTTTTGCGAAAAAGTGTACGTTGTTGTTCTTGTTGTAGCAACGTCAACCACTAGTCCGTCCCGAGGGCGATGAAGCGCGCCACATCGATTGGCTGCGTCCAAAGATCGAGTGCCGAAAGTTGTGTCGGCTTGGCCGGGCAGTTGAACAAATGTTGTACGTCGTGTGGGCCGACTCCACAATTCGGACATACGTTGTTGACGTTGGTGTCGATTCGGCTCATATAGCTGTTGAGCAGGTGGCACCAACCCGACCGTAGCTGGGCCAAAGTGGTTCTGGTTGCGCGCGGTAACCGATCGATGTTCCTCTGCGGCGATGGGTGGTGGGTAGCCTCCGAGCACCACGTTCGGCTTGTAACCGGCCATTCCGTCTGCTACTGCTCGTCTGTGTATACTCTTCAGGCATTGTTTGTATTGTGTGTGATCGACGTTGAGTACTTGTATGTATTGACCAATTTCGTACAAGTAGGATGTTACATCTTTCCTGATGTGTACGTCGGTTCACATGCTGGCTGATGATACCTTTATAGTGAATTTAATTTATACCTATCAAATCACCGTTCTTTTATTCACGTTTTTTCCAGGATGTTGCTTTCAGAAATAAAAAATCAATTTTTTACTGATAATTTATCATCACTTGTGTTCCATTTTTTGGTAAGTTGAGATCGCCACCTAGGATTTAATCTAATTTCTTGGTAGGCAAAAGTCTACGGACTTCAATATTAACATTGAAGTATGTAGAAAAATTGGGACGCAAGCTGCAAAGAAATTATAAAATGTCCTATTTGTTTGCCTGACAACTCTCCAGCCCGTTTCGATCTCAAATAAACTTTTTTCTACTAATAACAATAACATTCAGAACACGCTAATAATGATATCGCAGAGTAGAATAATTGACAGATGAAAGTGCCACGTTATCACTCCTAAACATGGCCAAGTGTTGAGGCTGCAGGGAAAATGAGCTGTGATGCTCATAAAAATATAGTTGTTGTTTCGTTGTATAAAGACTCATGAATTATTCACTGTACTCGAAGTGTGCATGCAGCAGAGAGTTCAGACGTTAGTTTCGACAAGTTGGTAAATAATGTCATTGTAGTTAATGTGAATTTATGCTCTGCTTGAATGAATCGATAATATGATAAATTATAATTAAATCCATGTATAATTCTATGTTCAATGAGTGGATGATATGGAAATTATAATACGTATGAAAACGTTCGTTCTAAATTATTTAATAATCTTTCAGATGAGGACCATATAAAAAGAGACTACATTAGCTTGGTAAGGCTATAGCCTGGCCATAATATAGATACCTACTATACTTTATAACACTATGCGTTATTATTAAAGGAACTATTTAATAAATTATATTACTTTTGTGTTTGAAATATTAGCATGGTTTAAAGTACACTACCATGTTTCAGTGTCCTGAATATATGTAGGAAATATATTTTTGTCAGCCCATAAAAAGTTTTTTATGAATCTGTTTTCTATAGCACTACTGGTGGATCAAATAATTCATGAGCAACTTTCATGTTTAATTTTTGGTATGACTTTGATATGACGCTGGCGGATTCATTTTTGCAAATCTGAATTCATTTCAATCCGTCAGATTGAATTTGATTAGAAAGAAGATTAGGCGCTTTTAAGGCCTGACTCATTCATTACCTGCAACTTCAATCCAAACTCGTGTTCAAAAAATTGCACGACTGATGAGAACAGGAGCTGTTTGTGGATGCATTCAGACGTTCAATTTTAAATTCAATATTTAGTTAACCCACGTGCTGGTTTCATACCTGCAACCCTACGAAAAAACTGTAGGTTGCTGGAAAGTACAATTTTCAGGTTCTGAATACAAAGAATTCGATAGCAACCCAACTTTGTTAAACTTTATCTTCGGCGTATGGCTTCAGCAGTAGCATCACCTCGGGTCTTGGAGACCGACTTAGGTGGGGAAACTCAAGCATTAACTTCGTCGTCGAAACAGTTCATTTTTATTATTACCATACAGAACACTCGCTTGAAGTTCTGCGAGATGACAAAATATCTTTGCTTAAATTTTAAAACTTCCACACTCATGAAATCAGGCTTGTACTTTGAATAAGTTAAGACCTTTCAATCAAACTTTAATCAAATAATTAATAAAATTAATTAATAATTAATCGAATCAAATATTAATCAAACTCATATATATACGGAAGGTGATTAACTTTCACCCGTCTTCTTGTTTCAGCGCAATTGCGCTCGTATAAATATGAAGCAATGTAAAACGTACATAATTTTCATCCTGATCTTCTTTCTACTTCCTCAGGTTAATCCCCCAAGTTAAAAATAATATTGAATTCGAATCTGCATTTGCTGGGGGACCGAATTCAAGTGTAATAATCATCAGTGCAATCGTTTATGACAGGTGCATGATAAGAAGCACGGAATATTTATACAATGACAATGGATTAACAAGTGGAATTAATCAAAGCAATCAATTAATCGATCCCACTCTATAAGAAATTCATAGAAATTATACGAAAAATAATATTTTACAATTAGAACAAGTTGCGAACCCAAATGTTAATGATTAAGCAAACAGCGAGGCGCAATCCTGAAAAAATAGTATAACCGTAGCAATCTAGCAGCTCCTTTCATACGTCTCAAAAATCAACGCTAAAAAAAGTTACCAGCTTTTATGATGTTGCGCCTATATACATCAATTCTTTCATCACAGGAACCTCGCTTTCTTATAATTATAAAATTACACAGTTCGTCTACTTGAGATCAATCTGAGTGATACTTATCTATAATATCACTAGAATAAATAGTTATAAATACTTAAATAGGCTAAGTAATAGCGATTTTCGCAAGCGCTATGAGATCATTGGAAGCCACGCCTCACTGAGGCGCGCTGGTCGTTGTGTTGTCCATATTAGGGGACACTGAGTTCAATGTATATGAAAAAATTTGAAATTATTATAAATAGATTGATAACATAAAAAATACAATAAGGTTATGCCATGACCAGACATTAAAGAAGAAACTCCCGCCCTTAATTTAGTCCTGAACTTGCAATTCTTTCGTTCTACAACATGCACTCAGAAAATGAACGAGTCATATTGTCCAAATAGTTATTTTTGCCCGGGGCAATGTATACGCTTTTTTGCTAGGACGAACTGGGTCCCAGTGACCTACAAAATGGCAAAGAACACATCGCTATTTGGACGATGTCTGACTAATTTCTCTGAAAGTATCACTGCATTAAAACGTGCGTCATGCATCGTTCAGAAATATAATTTTTTCATCTTATTTGGTTAACTAAAAATAATGGATCGTACCAGAACACAAGATAAGGTTCAATTCACTGAACTTGCAAAGACTAATTTCCGAAATATTTTATTTTTTTATTATACCTATCAGCATGCAACACGTTCATGCACGTTTTGAGCATGCATGAACTTCCAGCATACAACACGTTCATGCACGTTCTGAGCAGGCATAAACTTCCAGCATGCAACACGTTCATGCACGTTCTGAGCAGGCATAAACTTCCAGCATGCAACACGTTCGTGCACGTTCTGTGCATGCATGAACTTCCAGCATGCAACACGTTAATTAATTGAGGACTCGTACTCTTATGATGGCTCTATTAGACGCTCAGAACATAGTATGTATTATTGAAAAATTTATATTATTGGCCTAAGACTGAAGTAAATTATGCAATAGGCTTTTTGAGAACCCTAACAAAGACAAAATTATGAATTGAATTCAATTACCTCCAAAATAATGATATGAATGATATGAATTTAATAGTACTTGCATTTTGTGACAAATCCTAACGTCCTAACAGTTTATATTTTTTTCAATTCCCAGCGCTCTGAAATACTTAGAATGCTAACAGAATAATTAAACAGGTTTCGGGTCGGTGGCGTAATGAAACCGTTTGAAAAAGAGAGATTGGAAATGCATATCTCATTTAAATTAAGGTACGAGAGCATCTCAACAAATTTCAATTTTCACACCAAGCACTTTTTCAACAACTACACCTCTTCTGCACACTATAATATGATGACAAACTGAGGAAACTCGACAGAAATTCTGCGGTGTAATTCATCATATTTCACCAACACTCCCACCGTGTGACTTTTGTAGTTGTTTTTGAGATGCAGTAATTAATACGACAAGTTTTCCTTCAGTCCTTGGGGCAGAGACAGGACGCGCCGATCTGCTGCCTGAGGAAGTTACTGTAGTTCTCGACGCGCGTGTAGACGCCAGGGTAACCTGGCCTGGCACACCCTTGTCCCCACGACACAACGCCTGTCACGGCAATTTTCATGTAATTAAGTAATTAATTTTTGTAGTTCATTCGTCAGTTAAGTTTAATTTTTCTAAGATTGAGATTTTTAAGAAAACAAATGTTACAGGAAAAAATATTGTAGACCCTCTCAGTTTATTATTCATCAATGTTTTCACTGTATTGTAAATTTGCTACAGACCAAGTTAAATATAAAGACAATTTAAAATCCAGTCAGTGTGAATAAGTTTGTTACAGTCTTCTCATCAGCAAAGGCTATTGCATCAAGTGAAAGGATATATCTCAGATACAATAACTCAATATAAACAATAATAATTATAATATTATAAATCTTGGAACCCATACACACCGATGAGGTCAACTTGGCGTTGTCCAGCGTTGTTCTTGGTCTCGAACATCATTGGTCCGCCGCTGTCTCCCTGAAAACATCATCTTGTTTTTAGCGATTTATACCCAGTTTTATTTCCTAAGCTAAATTTATGCCTTAGGCTAAAAAGATCGAAAATAATTCCATGGCAATAGTAGAAACAATTGAATTTGTGTTCAGAAGCTCATGCACTTGAGTTGCACTGGTAGTTTGCTAGTCAATAGACGTGAATTCTCCAGAAAATCGAGCAATTAAGTAGCAAGTAGTCTGACCGTACATTGAATTTATTGGCTCCACCCTACCACGAAACAGATTTGGTGTTCGTATACTTATAAGAAATACGTGATAACAATATCGTATTTTTCATGTGATAATTATGTAATATTTATAATATCTTTCACACTTTAATTGGCTCACCTGACATGCATCAATCTTGCCCTGATCGTAGCCCGCGCAGACCATGTTGTCGGTGATCTCCGAAGGTCTGTACTTCTTGGTCTTGCACTCATCGTTGCTCATGATTGGAACTAAACGTAGAAACAAGCATTAGCTTAGTTCACGTCAGATTCGCAGGTTCTTGGGAAGAGAAGTTTGCGGACTAAAGAAATAGAAATTCAATAAATAGTATTTAATTTAATCTTAAAATTTATACCATACATGCATCGATCACAAAGTTAAGACCACTCTCCTTGGTGGTTGCTGACTACAATGAGTGATTACTTCGGTGATGTCAACGCTCGATCAATTACATCACTCAACTGATTGGTGCAGCCAGGGAACTCACCTCTAACTTTCCTGAGCACTTCGCTGTTGCGACCCTTCTCGCTAACTCGACCCCAGCCTGCGACGATGGCATGCTGACCTACGTAATCTCCACCTGTAATTCGACGAATTCTATAATTCAACAAATAAAGTTGGCTCGCTGCAAAAATTTCTTCCAGTCGGTAGTCTTACACACAAACAATCATAAAACGCACGTCACGCAATAAGCTCGAATATTCATCTATAAACAATACACTGAACGACCCAACCTCAGGCGTTAGCGTCACGGAGAAACGACCAAAGCAAGGAGCAGTTTTAACACATCTCACAAGGTTTTTTTTATGGTCTTCATCGTTTATTAAACGCATTCATTACAGCTAGTTTGATCGACATGCGTCACTTGGGTAGGGTTTTTGAAAGCCATAATATTTTAGATTTTATGTTAATGTGACGAGACTCATTAAGTAGAGGAATTAAAGATTCATCCAGACTTGGGTGACATCGGCGTCGTCAACCTAGCTTGGTTTCATTCAAACCGCGCCAAGTTCACTGCCCACAGTGCCAAGTCAGTAATCTTAAAGTGTCAGTCATCTCTTGCTAGAATTCCTGGACATGGCAGTTGACAGACAACATCACATTCACTGGCCCAAGCGGTGACCTTCCTGCGTGACACGAGCATTTTGGGAAGGCAACACCCATGCCCAGAATAAATTAAATTATAAATGACATCATAGGAAACGCTAATTTAAAATGATATTTAATGTTGAAATCTGGCTTATTTCCTTAATACACACCCGACTCAGGTAGGCAGACAGGCCTGACGTCTGTGCCCAGCACAAGAGGTTCACTAAGTCTGATGACGCCGATGTCGTTGTTGAAGCTGCGCCGCTGGAAGCCTGGATGCGCCCACCAGTCGCCTACCCGGCGCGTCTGCCGTCCCGCCTCCACGACATCGGAAATGTTGTGGCTTCCAAACACGATTTCCACGTGCCGCTTGTCTACCCTGCTCATTTTATTAATACATAATTTATGATATCGTATAAAATTGTTTTCGTCATATAAGTTTTAAATCCTCTGTATTTCTATTTACAATATCAGAGTCCTCGAAGTTTTCACATATTCACGTTGGTGGCGTGAATAGGCACACCTGTTGATGCAGTGCGCGGCGGTGACCAAGTGCTCGTTGCTGACAAGTGCGGCACCGCAGTAAAGTTTTCCTTTATAAAACATTGCAGCGATCCAGGGCAGCTCGGTTAGCGTCGTCTCGCTGCCACCGACAACTCGGTTTGTTCTACCCACCAGGCCGCATTCTGGACAAAAACGACTCAACCATTCTTTTTACGTCATCGTTCTGTGCTTAGCTTTCTTGTGTTCAGTGAGCAATGCCTGTGAGGACTTGGACAATAATTTAGTGTAGCAACAGGGTACACGTATTTTTGCACCGAGTATTCAAAAATTAAAGTTAAATAATTTCCAGGATACATATGTCATACAAGTTCTTCGTTATTAGATTACATTGACAACAAAATTTTTTTACGTAAAAACGTATCAACGTACATTATTCTAAATTAAGTTGTAGGTAAAGTATTGAATCGGGATTGTAAGACGGCTAAAATGTACTTACTAAGACCTTGGCAGTTGCAACTGCTGCCGGTTGCTAAGTCGTTTCGCTTTCTCACCGTTATCGATAAGCTCTGCCCAAAATAAGTATTTCTGATAACAGAAGAAATTACATTGCAAATTCTACTTGAATATCAATAAAGTAATTCAAACTCGCCAAAGGTTTGATGAATTTGGCCATAAAATTTGTGTAACCCTTAACCCAGGTTGTGAATTAATCGACTCTCACCTCTTTTACATCCAAAAAGCGCAACCCTGGCAGTATCGCAGCACACGACTGATATGGAGGCGTGAGAGGGAACTGTGAGCTCACACTCATAAAATTGTACGTGTTGCTTACTTCAACTTTCACTCTTCATCACATCCATCCTATAAGGACGAGCGCAAACCAAGCAATAGGTAAATATTACTCAACACTTCCTCATTCTTACTGTAAGTACGCGGTTAAGATTATATCCGACATATCATCGGTCCGCGATGAGCTACGGTCATTTGAATCTTATCTCCTATATCGTTCAAAATGCCTGACAAATAAACAGATTTGCGTACATTTTACAACTTAAATTGTGATTTTTGAACCGATGCCGGGCGTTGACTACGAACACAAGAGAAACCTGATGAACTCTAACCTCGCTCACCTTGACCAAGTTTGTAATGGTCTTTAATTCCCGCTACAGAACCTTTTATTTATTTTGAGTATTTAATTGGAAAGATGAAAATTCTTTGCTCAAACTAACGTTATTTAAACGACGACCATCTTTTGATAAAGAAAGTGTTTATGAAATTGAGCAACGATACATATTTGAAAGCTTGCAGTTTTAAGCGAGGTCACTCCCTTCAAGTCGTTGAAATTCAAGTGCCGTGCGCGCATATATGCAAACATGAGGAGCAGTGTTACAGTGACGAGCTGCAGCTGGCTTTACAAAAATATTTAATCAGGGAATAGGCTTTGGATTTTACATTTTCACAAGAATATAAAGGTTTAATTGGGCCTTTTTTTGTTACGTTTTATTCGAATCATTAAGTTGGTCTAAGCGTGACAATCGTTGAACGTGCATTCCAATATTTTAATTGCTCGTTTGTTTTTCTTCTGAAGGCTAGAAACACAGAAATAGTCAAGTCTTCATTCTACTTAAATCTTTCGCGTATTTTCAATTTTGGATCAAGACCACAGGTTTGAGACGAAAGTTCTAATTTTAAATTGTGTGTGTTATGAGAGGAAGGCGAAGATTCTATGATTTCAGCTATTGAAATAACTTAATACCTTTATGTGGAGGAGAATTGGCATATTACTTGTTAAAGTCTATATAAAGAGCGAAATATTTTGTTCTCACCCCATCTTGTGGAAGAGTGGAGCATAACGCCGGACACAGGAGGAGCATCATGAGATACCACATCTTGATGAGAAGAGATGCTTGATGATTGAGGGGAAACTTCAGTGGAGATGTTGGGGCGGTTTGTAGGAGATAAAGCCCTATAGTTTTCAATGCCCTATAATCTGCCAAGGTAATAGAGTCATTAGGACGACACTTCTATTCACACAATCACTGAAGTTACTGCCACTTTGCCATAAAGTTAACGCTAGCGCAATTTTGTTGTGAACAAGAGATGCGTGATATAGGTAAACTTTTATTCTTTGGGTTTATTTATCACTGCAGGCAGTGAGTACAGTCCTATATACTTCACATTCAGCATGTATATGCATCCTTTTAACCGCTCCAACACTCGAGCAAAAAAATAAAAAAGTAATTCACAATGCAAATTTTATACCAAACCGCCACCAAACAGGGCTTTAAATAGTCCCATTTGTTCACAGGGTCTCCAGACTGGCACGAACAGACCAACTCCCATTCTAGTAGACACTAGACACGTCAGTTCATGCCAGCGCCACTCACTTCCTACTGAAAGGAACAGGTTTGATCGACTGAGGTAAACACAAGCGCCAGCTACACGCACCCTCTTTCCCTTTCAGCACTCAGCCGCGGTCTGAAGGTCGGCCTCGTGGTGGCTCGGTTGATGACCTACCTACACGGTGCAACGTAAAGGGAACGATACAGCCATAAAATAATTCGCTATTATTTAAATGCGTGACAATGTACAAAGTGCTTGTTAGAGCTTTAAAATAGGTTTTATATCAACCCTCGTTTTTCCTTGATGAAAAAGGTTGCTCAAAGATTCCCATATGTTACTGAGTGACGACTATTTCTCGTATTGACGACTTATATTTAAAGACTAATCGACTTATCGAGTAAAGACTAATCGACTTATCGAGTAAAGACTAATTGACTTATCGAGTAAGACTAATAGTAATTATCGAGTAAAGACTAATCGACTTGTCGAGTAAAGACTAATCGACATATCGAGTGAAGACTAATCGACTTATCGAGTAAAGACTAATCGACTTATCGAGTAAAGACTAATAGTAATTATCGAGTAAAGACTAATCGATATTTTAACTTCATTCATTTATTGTTATTGCTGGTAAAGTTTATAAAATCAAGCATATTTTTCGTAGCCATATAACAATTTACTGCAACACGCGCGGTTATGAATTTTAAGTCCAATCAGTCCAACCCTTGAATTTGAAGTTTGAGTTGGAAGCTGCATTACTTCGAGCAGGATGACAGGAAAATGTACCAGCATTCTTTAAGCATTATAGCAATTTACTGTGACATGCGCGGTTAAGAATTTCAAGTCCAACGCATGAATTTGAAGACTGAGTTGGTAGCTGCATTAGTTCGAACAGTATGACAGGAAAATGTACCTGCTTATTTTAAATCTATGGTCTAATGTACATTTTAAGCTTAAATATTTAGAACTGAAGGGCAATGATTGTTCAAATTAAAGCGCAAGCGAGCATGAAGGTTAGCAACAAAATTCGTACGGAAGTGATAGAAACGCGCGCACTTTCCCTCTCTGCGGCGGCACACTTACGGGACTCAAGGGACCGAGACTCGCTTATTCCCGCCGCTGTTGGTGGAGTGAAATATAACTGTTGCTTCAGATAATGATACTATGGAGACAATCGATCGCTCATTGCAACTAAGACCTGATAAATTTATGCTTTCTCTCCACGAGCACGACTCAGGTTTCATGCAGCTATTACCAAGTCCAGCAACTAAAAGTCATGTAATTTTTAACATTCTAGTGTGGTAAGTAGAAAAACAATTGAGGAAGGATATTATGGATATATTTAATACTCTAAGTAATTTGAGCCTGCAGTACCTAAGGAAATGGTATACTAATATTTCTACATCACTGTTTTGTTTCAATATTTATTGATTGTTCAAGCTAACACCAGAAACCACCGGATTTGTCGATGCAGTAAAGTTTCTGCTGGGTTTTTTCAACGTTACTTTTTGTTATATGCGTCTTAAATACATTTATTTCCAAATTTTGTCACACACAACAAAAACAATCATTTGAACAGTAAAATCAGTGGAATTGAAGTGTCAAGCGTTTCTATCATCCGGTGCAAATTATCCATGAAAGTGTCATTCTGTCGCGTAATGTTCCTTGTAAGTTCGAGGCAACATTTCGCCGGTGCATTAACTCTAGTAATGAGTTCGGCAAGCGAGCAGCGTTGCTACCGCGGTGCTTGCAAGCGGCGAGGCCGCTCCAAAGAAATGTTCTGCAACGAAATAAAAGCGGACTTCCAGCACTGAAACATGGACCAACTATGGGTAAGCTTAATCTAAATGAAGAAAAATGCAATGAATCTTATTCGTCGATACAGCATGTAATTCTGAAGGGAATTGTAGATGTCGATTTGTAAACAATCTTGCGTTTGCAATTTTGATAGAGCAGAAATACAAGGGGCATGTTAAGAGCCTTATTTTACAGTACTTGAATGAGATATAGCCCATTCAGCACAGGGGCATTAAGGAGCCATGTTAGAGCAATTAGTGCAATATTTTTCTAAGAAAAATATTAACTAAGAATTTGTCTTGAATTATTTAAACGTGCTTACAAAATCACGAAACTGCACATTTTTTTACATAACTAGAACAACTAAAGGTCTGATGCACGCGGCCGGTTAGAACGGTGAGTCCAGTCTCCAGAAATTCCCTTTGCATTGAACACAGGTGAGTGTTGAATACATTGAATACATTATACATTGAATCTGTTATGCAGCGAGCAATGCAGTGAAAGTCATTTCACTACTGCGGTAAATCAAAGACCATGGCGTATAGAGCGATTTTTTGCGTCGTATTGCATGATAAAACACAAACTCCAATACGGAACTGAAGTGTTTGGCTAAACCGAAAATGTGAAATGATCAAAACAACTATAATAGTCTCCCATGTTGTGACAGTCGCACAACAGGTGTGTGTTTATGTAAGCTTCCCACTCATTACCTTTGCTGTGACACTGCGGTTGTGAACTGACGGTTGGTCTGACGATGTCACCGGTTATAAAGGCCATCGTCCACTAGGTCGAGGTCACAGTTTGGCGCTGGCGGAATGTTATTTGCATGTCGCGCACCGGCCTGTATGAGGAACAGGTTCCTAATTAGCAAGGCTGGCATTAATACACTCCGGCCAAGACTTCATTGACATAAAAAAGGATGTGTAATGGACCAGATCACCGATGGCGGTGTGGTAAAAATGACGATAGCATTATGCGGCCCATTTGTTCTCAGAGACTTTTTCATTGGCCGCAAGTCTAAATATAAAATTTCATAGCCTAAATTTTGTTTTCTTTGTCTTTTGTAAAGTTTTAATTAAAATAAAAAATATTGCCGTTGAAACGAAGGGAAAATTTACATTTTAAACGCCTTATTTTTTTATGCAGTCCCACTATGACATGAGGTCTTGAGTGACGCACGCTCTGGACATCTGTGGGTCACTGTAGGTTACGGGGCTTCTTTTGTCACTTTACGTGTCTTATTGTCACGTTGTTCTACTTCATCAATGCATGAAATAATTGCGTAGAAGAAATTATTTAGAGATAGATCTGACACACCTAATCGATATTTTCGATTTCAAAACAATTTCTCTATAATTCCAAACAACTAATAAGTGTTTAGAGATTTAAACTTAGAATTGCACTCTATTAAACAAATATGTCTGCATTTTTCATAATAACTTATTTCCACTGGGGTTTATATAAATATTACAAATAAGTTAGCAAATGAGTAAAGCAGGAGAAAATTGGGCGCTTTGACTGAACATTCAGTGGCAAATCCGACCACCTAAACTATAAGATATAATAACGACGGGAGTGTTAATAAATATTCAATACGACGAAATGGCTACAAGAAAAGTTATCTAAGATTGTCGCAAATTAGCTCCAAAATTATATTTAATCCAGAAGTTGTACCAACATGGTATTCAGCAGACCGCTAAAGTAAATGCAAACACCCTATACTTGCATGAAATGCTTGAAAATAAGAATTATGGATATAAATTAATGTAAATAATGTGAATGTAGGAAAGAATACATTATAGTTTTAACAGGAGTGGGATTCATACACATTATAAGTCCAAGAATGTTATCAATAAGTCGTTGCTAAAAAACAGCGATTCATAATTGTAAGCTAGACCATAAAATTGTGTTAGGATGATCAAAGCTGCAACGCTTTGCTTGCAATAATTTAAATATCGCGATTCTTTTGGCTTCAAAACTCGCAGAAGCGCACGAAATTGAATTATTCTAATTTAGTTTAGATATTGAATAAAGAAACCTACCTAGAGCATGAATTCGGCACTGAATTATTTGATACATAAAGCTATCCTAAATATATGAGCATGAACTGGAAATATCCCAGCTAGTAAACCTAAACAATAAAAAGCATTGCTATGGAATAGTGCGCAGTGTAAGCTGACGCGCAGTAGATAATAATAACAAAAGCCGAGGTTATCTCGGCTGGAAAAACATCCGTGAAGGCTCAGCAAAGCAGGCCATGGCCGCTTGTCCTCAAAATAGCGACGTTAGGCGCGGAAATACGATTTCAAGCGACATCTAACGTCACAACGCTTTGTTTACTACGGCCATATATGTATATGAGAAATCGTCAGACAAGGAAACCTATCAAAGTGGAGCGCATTTCCGTCATATGTAATGACCAGAGATGCCTTATACGCATGAAATGCTTATAAGAAATCCTTCACTTAATGTAAAATTAGAGATTCGGCAATCCTGCTCTCAACATGCGAGAATCGCTGCATGGGTATGTCACCAGCCCAAATTATATAACAAAATTACTACGTTCAGATTGTTTTTTGGCTTAATTGTGTCTGCACCCGATGATGTTTAAAGGCCTCATTCACCTAATTAGTTGAAAATTTTATTTGCCTTGATTATATCTAACCGCTGTGGTGATCATCATTATTTGGTTTGCCCAAGAGTTAGTGATGAAGGAAGTCATATATTATTTATTCTGTTAATGATTTTTTCTATGACGACGTGTTTTTCCAAATATATTCATTTTAAAGAAAGAGAAATGCAATAGGTCAAGAAATGTGTGCCTATGAAATGAAGCAAAGAATTTCAGTAATTCGTCGTCCTAAGTATTGGAAGCTAATTTTGGCTTTGAAATAGGGGCGCTGCCGTAGGCTACAAATTTAACTCTTAAATAAGCTCGTAATTAAGCCAACGCCCAGCCTCAGCGTGCGATAAGTTTACTCAGCCACAGGTCTAGAAGCAACACTTCTTAATTAAAGATAATATCGCTGTAGGTCTTCAGACACTTAAGCATGCTCGCATATAAGCAGGCTGTTCCGCATCCGGCTGCACATTCTATCATCTGGCCCAACCTATTGACGCTGTCCCGGCTCACAAACTTCTTGCAGCCAAAATGACTGGCTATACCAGCACACTTGAACCGCCTTTCTAACTTCCTGAAGCCAATGAGGTTAGGTAATGTCCGCTCAGATCGGTTTGAACTTTGAAGTAGAGAAGTGTTGCAACATGTGAAGGTTAGGCCAGAAGAGATTAGGCCGGAAGAGGTTTGGCCAGATGCAGAATGGCCATGATTTCCTGTAGCATGCTTAAGTGGTGGCTGTGGCGTTATGGTTTTACAGGGCGTTATGGTTCTAAGCAGTTGACTTCATTATAGGCTGCTATTCCCTCTAGTGTGTTTACCCACGAAAAGGAATATGACGTAAGTGAAAAGTTGGGCAAAGCTGGCCTCCGGCATACGCCCCAAGTATTGGAAGCTAATTTTGGCTTTGAAATTACGTTACGCGTCATAAGATCATGTTTGAGAATAATGAACATAGTTAACCGTAAGGAAGAAAGAAACAACGAATCATCTACAGGTTTTTCTCTGCACATATATTTTAATTGGGGCGACATACATAGCTGGCGATACTTTAATTAAAAGATTTCAGCTTTTTGAAGTGACGTTCATCGATTAAACCAACGAATGTTTGTGAACTTGAAATAATGGACGTTGTTCGTCCCTATATTTTTAGTATATCTGAAATATATATTATGTCGTCTAATAAATAACGATTACAATATCATTTTCATAGACTAACGGAATCTGACGAATAAGCATAGTGACGTCTAATTTTTATTAAATACATCGGGGACGAGGAAAATTCTCCTTGTGTAGCCGTATCTTGATAATCCTGCTAAAGACGCTCCAAATTTTGTATGACAATTCAATAGACTATACAAGAAAAGTCAGTGGTATATCTTATATTCTCGACTGTTATGTTGCTCGCAGCTTTGAAAGAATTATTGTAATTGGTAAATACTATTTCATCCGTTTAAATATCTGTTAGAAATCCATAGATTATTATTATTTTTCCGTCCATCAGAGTGCATGCTATCTATCACCGTGTTTCAAATAACCGTGATGATTAAGGTTAAGGACAGCAGACAAGAGAAAAAATTACGATGGAGGATAACGATAAGTGAAACTGAAACACATTAAGCACGCTATATATATAGCCCTGACCTTGCGTCGGCCTGCTTGTCAACGGCGACTTGTGTTGCCGGAAGCTAAGTAGCCAGTGCCGCCTGCTGTGGTGCCGGTGTCGCCTGCTGTGGTACCGGTGCCTCCTGCTGTGGTGCCAGTGTCGCCTGCTGTGGTGCCAGTGTCGCCTGCTGTGGTGCCGGTGCCGCCTTCTGTGGTGCCGGTGCCTCCTGCTGTGGTGCCGGTGCCGCCATGCTGTGGTGCCAGTGTCGCCTGCTGTGGTGCCAGTGTCGCCTGCTGTGGTGCCAGTGTCGCCTGCTGTGGTGCCAGTGTCGCCTGCTGTGGTGCCAGTGCCTCCTGCTGTGGTGCCAGTGTCGCCTGCTGTGGTGCCAGTGCCTCCTGCTGTGGTGAAAGATTCTACTTTTCAAATAAATATTTAGAAGGTTCGGCTCTGCGACGTTTTAAAGAATTTTTTATATGATCAACAGCTTCGCAATGAAGCAAATCTTATTGGTGTAATAATCGTTATTATTATGGAAATTAGGATAAATTACTTCACAAAGACTGAGTCGAACGGTCTGAGTGAATTTTTCTCGCGATTAAAGTTCCTCGATTTTAACAATTTACTGCCATCGTAATTAGTATATTTCGTAGTGCTCCAATGGAGTAATTACTCCATTTCGTAGTGCTCCAATGGAGTAATTACTCCATTTCGTAGTGCTNGGTGCTCCAAAGGAGTAATACTCCATTTCGTAAGGCTCCAATGGAGTAATTACTCCATTTCGTGGTGCTCCAAAGGAGTAATACTCCATTTCGTAAGGCTCCAATGGAGTAATTACTCCATTTCGTGGTGCTCCAAAGGAGTAATAATCCATTTCGTAGTGTTCCAATGGACCAATGGAGTAATTACTCCATTTCGCAGTGCTTGCAAGCGCTGACCTCGCCCCAGGATGTCACGCTGCTTTGTCCTTGTATATTTTCAATCAGTTTTTTTAGCGTGTCGTGCTTTCTCTGCTTATGAGAGAAATTGCTCTCTCGAGCTGTGAGGGGAATAATTCTCTCGGGGAATAATAATTTGTATATAATTAGTTCCCACATCGAGACGACCTTTTACGACAATCATCGTTTTTTAAATAATAATTTTAATCGATCATCGATTAAAAGTTATTATTCGATTTAATAACGTTAATCATCGATGAAAGAAATAATAATTTTCATCCAAAGCTGAGAGGTCACCGTTTATATTTTTAATTTTGATGCACGCTTGTTGAAAGAAAGGATTTGAGTTTTGCTCGTTGTCTAGTTGTAAAATCATCCTTAATTTGCCAGCCATGAAATATAAAGTAGAACGAGTTAAAGGCAACTAATGAGAATCGAGTTAAAGGCAACTAATGAGAATCGACTACGCGGTGACCCGATTACCAGTGTACCATATGACCTCTGACCCTCATAAAGATGTCACGTAACGTTCAGGGCTCAAGGTTAACCTGACACCTGTAGCTGATTG